AAAAAAAAAAAAAAAAAAAAAAAAAGCTATAATTACACACATACTGGAGGACAGGGTATCCCAGGGACAGAAGGAGCTAAGTAGAGTTGACAATATGTAAAGCACCGTGATATGCCTGGAGGGGAGAAACCACAGGCAGTTTGGTGTCCATGGACCATTTGCTGAGCAACTTGGAATAAGTTTGGATCCTGGAGACTGTTGAATGCCCCGAGCTGAGGATCTTGAACTTCACCCTCAGATAATGGCAGCTAAGGAAACCAAAGTTAAATTTCTTATGTAACTAAACTTACAAAAGAAATAAGGAAGCACGCTGCGTGCAGTAGCTCACGCCTATAATCCTAGCATTTTGGGAGGCTGAGGGAGAAGGATCCCTTGAGGTTACGAGTTCAAGACCAGCCTAGGCAACATAGCAAGACCCTGTCTGTATTTATTTAAAAAAAATAAAACTGGCCGGGTGCGGTGGCTCACACCTGTAATCCCAGCACTTTGGGAAGCTGTGGCAGGCAGATCACTTGAAGTCAGGAGTTTGAAACCAGTGTGGCCAACATGATGAAACCCTGTCTCTACCAAAAGTACAAAAGTTAGCCGGGTGTGGTGGTGCGCACCTGTAGTCCCAGCTACTTGGGAGGCTGAGGCACGAGAATCACTTGAACCCGGGAGGTGGAGGTTGCATTGAGTCAAGATCACGCCACTACACTCCAGCCTGGGTGACAGGAAGAGACTCAAAAAAATTAAACAACAACAACAAAATATATATATATATGAAATGAGAAAGCAGTGGGCATAGGAAAGGCTTGAGGGATATTTAAGAAGGTAGAATGAGTGGGTCGGAATGATTGATTGGAAGTAGGGGTAATGGATTCAGGACACCTCTAGGAACCCCACAGTTCTAGTTTAAGTAACTACATGGGTACTGGTTCATCACTTGATTCAGGACACAGAGGAAAGGAAGCCAAAAAAAATGAGATGAGTTCTATTTGGGAAATGCTGAATGCCAGATGTCTTTGGGCTATTCAGAGATTGCCGAAGCACAAGGAAGAGTTCACGGCAATGTTTAATTATTTTTAGTGCTCACACGTCCCAGATTTGGCCAGTGGGAGTCCCTCCAAGCTAGTTCCTGTGTCCTATGACATCATTCAGCTTCTTTCTCCGTTTCTTCTTTTGTAAGCCACTTCCTTTCTGGCATGATAATATGTTCCTCGACTGTCTTGTACCTTGTGTCTTGTACCTGCCCTGCTTTGCTCTGGCCCTGGCATCAACCATTTCTCCGAGGAGTCCTGATTCCTTTTTATGGGAGAATGTTGTAAGAACAAAATATACTACTACATCATACTACATTCTGACAAGAAAAAAAACACACAGTCATAAGAAATAAAGCCATGGTCGGGCACAGTGGCTCATGCCCTCAGGAGGCAGAGGCAGGAGGATTGCTTGGGGCCAAGAGTTCAAGACCAGCCCGGCCAACATAGTGAGGCCCCCGTCTCTATAAAATAAAAAGAAAGAAAGAAAATTGGAAAGCTATGTTTGGATGAGTTTAGTCTTCTGATTATTTTTGCTAAAGTTTAAAAAAAAATTTTTTTTTTTTTTCAGACAGAGTCTCATTCTGTCACCCAGGCTGGAGTGCAATGGCATGATCTTGGCTCACTGCAACCTCCACCTTTTGGGTTCAAGCGATTCTCCTGCCTCAGCCTTCTAAGTATCTGGGATTACAGGTTCTCACCACCATGCCCTGCTAATTTTTGTTTTTTTATTAGAGATGGGTTTTTGCCATGTTGGCCAGGCTGGTCCCAAACTCCTGACCTCAGGTGATCTGCCTGCCTCAGCATCCCAAAGTTCTGGGATTACAGGAGTGAGACACCATGCCCAGCCTTAAATTTTTAAATATACTTTAAATATAAGATATATATTTTATGTACTATCTACTTTTAAATATAAACATAAATATTATAAAGCTTTTAACTGTTCATTTTAGAAACCTCAGAAAATACAAATTAGGAAAAAGAAGAAAATAAATCTCTAATATCACTTTTAAGGATTATTTTAAAAACCTCTAGGTTTTTTTTCGAGACATAATTTACATATCAAGTCTTTTTAAAAAAATTCATAATGGTGACGTTTTCATCAGAATGCGTAGGATAAAGCTTGTTAAAATGTCTAAGATATTTTGTAACATTTAAAAATTTCAGCTAAACTTGTCCTATAGCATCACATGATTTAAATATGTTAATAGAAAATCATTCATAAACCATGGTTTGGCATATAGTTTTAAAAATTTGAGACTGGACTCAGTGGCTCACGCCTGAAATTCTAGCATTTTGGGAGTCTGAGGCAGGTGGATCAGGAGGCAGACTGAGGTCAGGAGTTCAAGATCAGCCTGGCCAACATGGTGAAACCCTGTCTCTACTAAAAATACAAAACTTAGTCAGGTGTGATGGCAGACGCTTGTAATCCCAGCTACTCAGGAGGCTGTGGCAGCAGAATTGCTTGAAACCAGGAGGCGGAGGTCAAAGTGAGCCGAGGTCGCACCACTGCACTCTAGCCTGGGCAACAGAGCGAGACACAGTCTTTAAAAAAAAAAAAAAAAAAAAAGGAATTTGGCCAGTGAGGTGGCTCATGCCACAATTCTAGCACTTCGGGAGGCTGAGGTGGGAACATTGAATATTCATGAAAAAAAAAAAACAGCCTGGGCAACATAGACACCATGTCTCATAAAAAATTAAGAAAAAAGAATTCATTGATGATTCTGTATTTACAAATATATTCCTGCATCATTTGTTCATGGTAACCAGGATATTACAATACATAAATATATGCTATTATTTTCAAAGCAGTTGTCTTCCAGAATTGGTACTGATTCTATTAGACTTTTCATTCTGGAGCTAAATATAAAATTAATACAAATGTCTTGTAACTAATAGCTTTTTTTCCCCATAATTCCCCAACCCCCTTCACGTTAGAAGCCTTAAGTAGTCTAATTTAATCAGCTTAGTCTGAAATATGATACTACATTGGCATCTTGTTGGCCTAGTATTGCTTACTTTTTTATGAAATGAACTCTGCAATTGTTTTGTGTGGTTCAAAGGCATTCTAGGCCAGGTGTGGTGGCTCACGCCTGTAATCCCAGCACTTCAGGATGCCAAGGTGGGCAGATCATCTGAGGTCAGGAATTTGAGACCAGCCTGGCCAACATGGTGAAAACCTGTCTCTACTAAAAATACAAAAAGTAGCCAGGTGGAGTGGTGTTGTGTGCCTGTCATCCCAGCTAGTCAGGAGGCAGAGGCATGAGAATTGCTTGAACCCAGGAGGCAGAGGTTGTAGCAAGCTGAGATCGTGCCACTGTACTCCAGTCTGGGCGACAGATTCAGACCCTGTCTCAAAAAATAAAAGACATTCTAATAACTATTTTTTTTTTTTTTTTTTTCAATTCCAGAGCGGACTGATGTACTGGCCCTTTGTACAGGTGAGTTCCGCCTACTCAGAAATATTAACTCAGGGCTTTGGTTTCCATGTGGCCCTAACGGACTCTGTCTGTTCCAGCTGACCAACTTCAGCCTTGTTCCCGTTCAGTGGAGAACAGCTTACGCGGGGCTCTGTTCTTTTCTCTGGGCCATCTTCCTCTGTTTTTCCCAGCAGAGTGGTGACGGCACATTCAAGTCAGCTCTTCCCTTTTTTCATACCAAGGGGAGCAGTGCCATCAAAGGGTCCCCAGAGAAATGAGAATTCAAGGACTCTCTTAAAGGGACCACACTGTTGACCTAAAATACACAGGATTGCCTGCAGACTGAATACTTGATTCGCCAATTATGTACTTCATTTGGAGGGATTACTGCTATTTGTTGACCCACTTGTTTTTTAAATTATCCATGATTATTTGTGAACTATATTCATTTTTTCCTGTTCTAGTCTGAAAGCTTTACTTCTCTAATATTTTGGTTAATATAAATACTAGTGGCAAAATGGCATTTTAGAATTATTAATATTTCTAATATTTTAAAGTGAGTTTCAGGAAACTTGGTTTTGATTCTTTACATTTCTATTCTAAAATCTCAGGTTATCTCCTGAACATGTTTGAGTCAGATGAACTTTTCTACCAAAAAATAGTCCTTATACTGAATTTTAATTTACATATAACTCAATCGAAATGAAGATTTAATAACCAGATTTCTTTCCCCAAAACATACATAATTTGTTGCTATTTTGATACTAAAATTTAGTAAGTACCTTTCTTTTTCTTTCTTTCTCCTTCCTTCCTTCCTTCCTTCCTTCCTTCCTTCCTTCCTTCCTTCCTGCCTTCCTTCTTTCCTTCTTTCTTTCTTTCTTTCTTTTTTCTTTCTTTCTTATTTGAGATGGAGTCTGACTCTGTCGCCCAGACTGGAGTGCAGTGACACAACCTCGGCTCCCTACAGTCTTCTGGGTTCAAGCGATTCTCCTGTCTCAGCCTCTGGAGTAGCTGTGGGATTGTAGGCATGTGCCATCACACCTGGCTGATTTTTGTATTTTTAGTAGAGACGGGGTTTCATCATTTTGGGCAGGATGCTCTCGATCTCTGCCTCAGCCTCCCTCCTAAAGTGCTGGGATTACAGGCATGAGCCACCTCGCCTGGCCTTTTTTTTTTTCTTTTTTTCTTTTCTTTTTTTTTGAGACAGACTTGCTCTGTTGCCCAGACTGGAGTACAGTGGCATGATCTCGGCTCACTGCAAGCTCTGCATCCCAGGTTCAAACAATTCTTCTGCCTCATCCTTCAGAGTAGCTGGGATTACAGGTGCCTGCGACCATGCCCTGCTCATTTTTGTATTTTTAGTAGAGACGGTATTTTGTCATTTTGGCCAGGCTGGTCTCAAACTCTGGCCTCAACTGATCTGCCTGCCCTGGCTTCCCAAAGTGCTGGGATTACAGGTGTGAGCCACTGCACCCAGCCCAGTAAGTACATTTTTTATTACCAAAAAAAGAGTAGATTAGAGTATGACTGGTGTATTCTGTATAGAATGTATTTTATTGATGTCTTACATTTTTATAATTTCTCAGTTAAGTACTTTTTAATTATTGCTTTTTAGTTTTGAGAACATTCAGTTGACTAAAGCACCTCATTTCCCAGATACATGAAATAAAATATTTGGACTCTTAAGGAAATACAGTGAATTCCAGAGGAAGGAAGAATTCTAATCCATAAGGTAGCAGGGAAAATAATTACCTCAAATTTCACACTGATGTTATTTTGTGAAAATCAGTGCTTTAAATTACATCTTTATACTGTAGAGTAAACGTGAGAAACTTGATCTAATATTTAGTATTTATTCGGTTTGTCTAATCTCTACACCAGCAAATTTTAAAATTATGTAACTATCTCAAGAAGTTTCACTTGGATGTGATGGCTCATACCTGTAATCCCAGCACTTTGGGAGTCTGAGGTGGGAGGATCACTTAAGGCCAGTAGTTCAAAACAGCTTGGGCATTATAGTAACATCCCATCTCTATTTAAAAAATAAAAAGTTTCAGCAAATTTCACCTGAGAATTGCACCACAATTTTGTTATTTCCAATGTCTTGTTCCATGGATTTCAAGTTGCGAAGCCCTGAACTGTTAATTTATCTTGAGAATTTATATTTAATCTTAATTTAAGTATACCTAAAAATTGAGCATATAATTAGTATAATTATGTTTCTATAAGTCATAAGTATATAGTTTACAAGTATATAATTTATCTGAATGTAATAGACAATGATATATTTTACATTATTGGGACAAGAGTAAAGAAATTTCTAAATGGTTTGTAAAATAATTTGTTATTTGCATTGTTGTAAAAGTAGTTAATACAATGGAAAAACTGTTTCATAATAAGATACATTTTAACATCAAAAAGTGTACCCAAGGTAATTATAAGTAGTACATGACAAAACTTTACATAAGCTGTTTTATCACTTTTATGATGGAAGAACAGTGTTTGCATTTTGTATACAAGTACTTGCGGCTGGGTGTGGTGGCTTATATCTATAATCCCAGTGCTTTGGGAGGCCAAAACAGGTGGATCACTTGAGCCCAGGAGTTTGAGACCAACCTAGGCAACATGACAAGAGCCTATTTCTCCAAAACACAAAAATTAGCCAAGCATGGTGGTGAGAGCCTGTAGTTCCAGCTACTTGGGAGGCTGAGGCAGGAGGATCTCTCAAGCCCAGGAGGCCAAAGTTGCATAAATAAATGGATGCAACTGAATGACATGAGGTTTCTCTTGAAAGAGAGAGCAAAAGATATTTTAATAATACTAATAATAAGCCTGGGTGTGGTGGCTCATGCTTGTAATCCCAGCACTTTGGAAGGCCAAGGCAGGTGGATCCCTTGAGGTCAGGAGTTCAAGACCAGCATGGCCAACATGGTGAAACCCTGTCTCTACTAAAAATACAAAAATTAGCCAGATATGGTGGCGTGTGCCTTTGGTCTCTGCTACTCAGGTGGCTGAGGCAGGAGAATCGCTTGAACCTGGGAGGCACAGGTTGTAGTAAGCCGATAAATATAAAAAGTATTTAAGTACTAACAGAGGAAAATTTCCACCGACCACCCTTTAGCTTTAAATAATATACCCAGTTTACTTGTAATTAAAAATCATGCATCATTCACAATTTGTCTTTTTTGTTTGTGCAAAAACTATCTTTTATCTGTATTGTGGTTGATTGGGTGAGAGGGAATTAGACCACTCGAGTTTGTGCATGTTTAAATTTTTCTGGCCAGGTGCAGTGGCTCACACCTGTAATCCCAGCACTTTGGGAGGCCAAGGTGGGCAGATCACTTGTGCTTAGGAGTTCGAGACCAACCTGGACAACATGGTGAAAGCCTATCTCTACCAAAAATACAAAAATTAGCTGGGTGTGGTAGCTTGCACCTGTCCTCCTAGCTGAGGCAGGAGGATCACTTGAGCCCAGGAGGCGGAGGCTGCAGTGAGCCTTGATTTTGCCACTGTACTCCAGCTAGTGCGACAGAGCAAGACACAGTCTCAACAACAACAACAACAACAAAAAAGACAGAAAGAAAAGAAAATTAGCTTCGGTATTTCAGGTTGTATTTAAATAGGGACTTCACATCAACTATGTTCACTACAGTTGACCAAATTAAGTGTAAATAGTCTCTTTAATAGAGAGATTATCTGGAATTGCAGTTTCTAACTCATACGTCATTGCTGTAAACCTTATTTGTTTACTGTTTCTCTTCCAAGGACTGTCAATCATCCTTTAAGATTCACTTGAAGCTATGAAAAGATATTTTTTGTTACATGGACAGCTTACTTTTAGTTCAGTAAAATGTTATGTGAATTTCTACAGAACGTTTGCCAAAATGAATTATATCTAGAATATGCTTAACAATATATTCTGGAGGCAGCTTTCATTTGAAATTAGGTTCATCTTCTGAGAGTATTAAAAAGTTAATGGGTTTTTGTGCCTGAAGATTTTGACATTGCATTTGGCTACATTTAATTCAGTTTCACCCATAAGGTTTGGCATCTAAAGGAATTAAATCACTGCTAATGTAATTAAAATGATTGAAGATGTTTCTTTTAATACTTTACGCAGCTGATACGTGAAAAGGGAAATCTGGGGTTTAAAGATAAAGTGTGTGCTGGAGTTGAAAGGTTAGGAACGTGAAGATCTGCGAACTGTAGCCAACCCAGTGCATAGAAGGCAGTAATTACTGAGTAACATTTTTGGTATATATCAAGTAAAAGCTTGTCTTTCTGGTTCTCTTCTGCTTTGTGTGTCCTTCTCTTAACTGCATCTTTATTCATCCATTTCTTCCTTCCTCTTCCTTTGTCCACAACCCAACAAACCTACTGCTCTCTGCTCTCACTCCCTGTCTGTGCCATGACCACTCAAACATCCCAGGAGGGCAGAATAACTGTAATGAGGGTAAGGGCCCGGGCACTTAAGGACTCGACAGCCTTGCTTTAGAGAGCATGGTAGCAGAGGATCCTCTCTGGTGTCTGGGAGAAGAAAAGGAGGAATGAACATCCCAGGAGGAATTTATTTTTATTTTTGAGATGGAGTCTCACTCCGTTGCCCAGGCTGCAGTGCAATGGGGTGATCTTGGCTCACTGCAAACTCCGCCTCCTGAGTTCAAGCAATTCTCCTGCCTCAGCCTCCCAAGTAGCTGGGACTACAGGCGTGTGCCACCATACCCAGCTAATTTTTGTATTTGTAGTAGAGATGGGATTTCACCATGTTGCCCAGGCTGGTCTCGAATGCCTGACGCCTAGTGATCTGTCCATCTCAGCTTCCCAAAGTGCTAGGATTACAAGCATGAGCCACCATGCCTAGCCTAGGAAGAATTTTGAACTGAGTAAATACCAGGTGCCTCTTTCTTTTTTGATACCCTGTATCTTCCAAATTAGTTCTTACTTTCCTCCCCTTACCCTTCAAAACTTAGTTTTTTCATCCGGCTGATTTTAGCTTGTGCTAGAAAAAGGTTCGGGCACAATGGCTCACACCTATAATCTTAGCACTTTGGGAAGCTGACATGTGAAGATCACTTGAGGCCAGGCACTGGAGACCAGCCTGGGAAACATAGTGAGACCCTATCTCTACTACAACAACAAATTAGCTGGGTGTGATGTCACGCACAAATATTCCTGAGTACTCGGGAGGCTGAGCTGGGAGGATCACTTGAGGCTGGGAAGCTGCAGTCAGCTGTGATTTTGCCACTTGGGTGACAGAGCTAGACCCTGTCTCAAAAAAAAAAAGATTCAGTAAGCTAATTTACTGAGATACAGATAACAGCTTTGAGTTTTTATTTTATATTTTATTTATTTTTATTGCTTTTTGAGACAGAGTCTCGCTCTGTCACCCAGGCCGGAGTGCAATGATGTAATATCGGCTCACTGTAATCTTCACCTCCTGGGTTAAGCAGTTCTCCCTGCCTCAGCCTCCAGAGTAGCTGGGATTACAGATGCTAGCTCCCACGCTCAGCTAATTTTTGTATTTTTAGTAGATACGGGGTTTCACCATGTTGGCCAGGCTGGTTTCACATTCCTGACCTCAGTTAATCCACCCACCCCAGCCTCCCAAAGTCCTGGGCGTAAGCCACGGAGCCTGGCCTTGATCTGTTATTTTCTAATATTCATATTTACATCGGTGCCCTGTTTCTCTGAGCCGCAGGCCATAATGTCCTTTTCATGTTCTAGGTAGAAAGTATTGTAAAAGCAATACCAATGGTTGCATTTTTAAGTTTAAATTTTATGTAGACATATATTAAAATTTTGATGTCATATGATTTTGCGTGTATGAAAAATAAAAATCTTAGTTAAATA